AAGCTCTTGCCAAAAAAAATCAACCGAGATCCAATTATATATGTTTGCGTCAATTTACCACAGAGTTCCTATGGCCACCACCCGGCTCCAGCATCAGATCAGCTCAATGTCATATTAAACGTCCAACACATTTTATTATGATCTTACCTTACTTATTATTATTTGCTGATCAAGTTCTTTCATTCGACACACATATCATAAGGATTACTGTAGTAGTAGTAAATTATCATTTTGCGGTCGTCGCCATATTGAATTTAGAGTGACGTTGCCTTTCTTATTGCGTTTCTCTCGTCAAGCCATTCCATTTGATACCCAAATTATAGAAGTGACTGCTAAAGTGGTAAACCACCACTTTGCAACATTCGTCCTCACGGATTAAACATTTAGGGCTAGTTTCACCATCATTAATATTTGACCGTCAGTTTGGACCAACGGGAAAAGACCTTATTGAAATGCAATTTGACGGAAGTTGAAATATTGAACAAAATCGTGAAAACACGATTTTTGTTATAAGAAAAAGCGCTTTTTGATTCCAAGATGATGCTTTTGTCCAGAGAACACAGGTCATCTTTCATGTATTTTGCTTTTTCTTATAAATTTACGTATAACAGACCGTTATCCCATTAGCCAATGGGAATGCGGCAAATAATAGGTCTAGCTGTTAAATTTGATAGCACGTTTGAACGTTTGTTAATGCATGGCAATATCGCATTTGTTAAGTTCAATATACTGAGTGTTTATATATTATCATTAAGGCTACATGCTTCTTGAAATATGCGGCTTTATTTGTATTTTGCATGAAAAAAGAATATAAAATGTAGTCCGAGAAGTTCCTCATCTTTCGTTACATCATAGTACACCGGTATCTGTAAAACGTGTCAATCCCTACATCTCCGTGGTGCATAATGGAATTATCATAGACACAGATGTAAAATTATTAGCAATTACTGAAAAATAAGAGCTAAAAAAATATAATATTAATAAAATATTGGTCGTTAAGTTTTTTGACTGGTGAGGACACAAAACATATATACTGCGGAAGCTTAATTCCACGGTCCACGCTATGCAAGTGCAACTCGCCTGACTTAAGCCATGGCAGCGGCCATTTCTGAGGGTACGCCATGGTTGCCAGATGGTGCGCCATGGTTGCCAGATTGTGCAATAATAATCCGCAAGGTATCCAGCTCAACATATAAATCTGAGATTGCTTAAGCTTTATATATATGTATAAAGAAATTTGGTGGCATATGAGATATATAATAGCATGTGTTATTAACAATTTGCGCTATCGTGACGAATAAGTGCTTTTTTGAATGTTAAAATAGCAATGTCAATAATACAAGCTGTTATAAGATCACGCATAGGACAGACAGTGATGGGCCATTTAATGCATACTGATCGGTGGATGAAAATAACTGGACACTGACCGCACTGCAAGTGGGAAAAAGAGATTTTTCTCAGGCACCAAAAGGAAAGGTTAAATAAGAATTCCATCTGACACGCATGGAACATCTTTAGAAGTCAGGTTTAGGTACTTACGACCTGAAGCAACTCCTGCTGTTGTTTTCTATTGACTTGTGCTTTGACTTCTATCTTTGAATGCTGTTTGCTCGTGATTTACAACTCATTTTTGGATAATCCACCATAATAACACATAAAGGGTCAAGGAAACGAAACATCTGTTTCATTGACACATTGCTGCACTAGACACGACATCGGAGTTGTTCAATGTTGTTTTGTGAGCAAATTTAGGATCAACGGAATTAGCTAAGGTAGAGTATTTTAAACACAAAGAGTGCGCTAGTTTTATCAGAAGAAAACACTATATTTCTGAGCAACAGGAGCAAAGCGAATCTCAGGCTTCCGATTCTGGTTCCAGGAACTAGTGCGCGACCAGACCACGTTATGCAACACACCACAAAGAATATAGAAATACTTAAAGAGTGAAAATTCCAGTATTTCAGTCAAGATTAAGTGAAAACGATTCATTCATATTTTTGAACCGTTCCAATGCATTCCATTAGTCACAAATGCATTCTCCCAGCACTAACATTATGAGACACCTATTTCAGATGTCAATTCGTCAATATTAAAATGAAAATATTTATATGGAAATTGGTTAAAAAATTTAGCATGTTGTGAAAATAGTAGTTACTGTACATCGTAGGCTGTTGACTTAACATAACCACCTATTTAGGGATCGCAGGCTTAACGCGTACCCAACAATGTAATACATGCAGTAAAAAGATCATGGATGGGTCTGAGTCTCCATATTCCTCCACCTGAGAGGTGTATGGTCACATCGTGCTCGACTGTGATTTGAAATATATTAACATGTGAATTCTACACACCTAAAAAGTTTTATGACATTGAATACTAAAAAAAAGTAAAAAGGTATATTTGCTTAAAATGAGTGACTAAATAATAACATAAACAATAAATAATCAAAAACAACAAATGAACAAAATCAGTAACTGATACAGTACATATTTAATAAGACAGCATAATAAATGAAATATGTATATATAATTGCATAAAACAGAATCTTTATGTCTTTTTAATTTTTATTTCCATTGTAATAAAATTTTTGAGCTCGTATATTATTCACATGTTAATGTACTTCAAAATCAGTCAACCACGATGTGACTCTAGGTGGCGAAATATGGCAGCGCAGCGCATCCCTTCCATACTGTGGTCGATAATTGATCTTCTGTGGTATATTCTCCTTCTTCAACGTCACTGTAGTCTATGTTTTGTGGTCACTTGTTCGGCTATTTGACGTCCAGCTATTTTTGGGAAATGGAACTTTGAAAGAACAAATTTCTGTATAATAAGTGCTCCGTCCAAAAAATTTTTTGTGCAAAATTGCATATTACCCCATCGTGTACAAACAAAAAACTGCAACTGCAATTTTATGTAGGAATGTTGAAAATCTTGAACAGTTTCGGACCAGTGGTGTCAAAATGTCGTTGAGGAACTGGAAAGAGGTGTATGAATGTGTTGAAACGCAGCACCTAACAAAAAGTTGAGTGAAAAGGCCCTTTCATGTAAGGCTTTGGAAGTGCAAGTTTGCAAATGTAGGATAAACTATAAGCACACCGTAGGTGATGTTAAGTTTCTATAATCACATATGGATTACAAAAGTTGCAGTAAACATCCAGAAACCTTCAGCTAAACTGAAAAAAAATGGATTTTACTCAGACATCAAGCATTTTTTGAAAATTATAGCTCAATTTTATATAATTTCATGATGCTAAGTAAACTGATAACATTTCAATGACAAACTATCCACTTCATATTTTACAGTGTTTTGTTTTGAATACTTTTATACGATTTGCTGCCAAAAAACTGACAGTGAGATCTTGAGGCTGATTGGGTATATTTGTCGGTCTGTTATATTGGTGGAAAATAATGGTTTGTTAGATTGTGAAATCGGCCCCCAATTTACTATGTTGTATGGTCATGACAACCAAATTTCAGCTTCATTGGTTCGGTCCAGAATTTATTTTCAGGATTTGTTCCACACATGTTAACATACTAACATGTTAAGTTAAATAAAAGCTTCTACAAATACTTATTTCTTAACATTAAACTGTATACATATGATGCAGTATGATGCAACAGACGTAAGAAATGCCGAAAAGAAGTTTTGGTTGACAGTAAAGAATCCTCCTGCCGTAAACTTTGGCTGCAACTGAGTGGTCAAAGCTGCAAAACTGTTTAGCTCTTCGAGCAAATGCTCATTGGCAACGTCAGTTTGTAGTATGTAACAAAGACGTGTCAACTTCTCGTTCTTCTTTATCACCTTGTCACAGGATATCACAACAGCCGTACTGAAACTCTGAAACAAAAAACTATTATTATCACCTTATTGTGTTCTTAAGTACCTATAGCCAAGAACAAAATTTCTAAGGGCTTACAAACAGGTAGATAGGCAAATAGACTAACACATGAAAAAAACGGAAATTAACAAAAAAAAAATAAGAAACATAGTTCATGAAGCGTCAATAAAATAGCGTTATCTTAGAGTCGTGCGGATTTTTGCAGTCGTAGTATTTTTCTTGATTAAGCTTAGAAGTAGAAATTAGAATAGTACAACAGAAGAAAATTACCAGATTCAATAGCAGCGCCAACAAAGATAAAGTAGCATTGTACCCTCCAGTATAAAGAATATTGTCGAAGGCCCAAATCAGGCATAGTAGGACACCAGTATAGGTATTCGCTATAATGAGTAACAAAGTCTGACCAAAGATCCGATTGAATACAGAGACAAGATCATTACATTCCTTGTAGTATATGTGGATATCATGAAAGCGGTCACTGTTTGCTTTCCAAGTAACTGACCTCCATAGAATGATGTACATCTGTGCATAATGCCTCTGGATGCATTGTAACATCAAGCAAACTAAAGCTATGGTGTAAAGTTCTATAATTGTTACTATCTGATCGCCGATGTAGTAAGGGTCCTCCTCAAAATAGAAAGAGCTCGCAATGTCCATTGCAATCAGTCCTAAGAAAATCATAATCACAGTTGGCTTATATGTAGTCATTTTTGCTGTCAGTCTGCAACCCAATCTACTTGCAGTAGCATCAGCCTGTATCATACTGTTTATGAATACCTTCCACCTTCTGGAATTTTTGAAAGACGAGACAACACATGAGGTCACAAGGAGGTTCATCGGGATGCTTTGTAATAGTCCTAAGAAGCTCAAAACGTACAGCTCACGTTCTTGGTACTGGATGGTCCTATTGATAAGATCATACAGCTGTATTACTGTGAAGCAGCTTGTCCATATAAGTGTGGTTATGTGACATATCAACTTATGCCATTTTGCTTCAAGGAATGGAGGTACCAGCCCAAAGTACTTGCCTACTGAGTACTGAGTGAGGAATATACGTATATACTTTGGTACTGGAAATAGTACTTCCATTACTATGCATTGTACAGTAACAAGTGAGTATCAGCAATTTTCCTTGTAGTTATTATTCTAATTCGCCAGACTGGGTGGAAATTGTGAAACACACAGCAGATCAATTCGATGGACATGTACGGTAAGTGTTTTTTAATTATGTTATTTCTCATATAACCGCGACGAAGCACATACAAAAGTAATGGGGTAGCTAGAAAATTCATATGGTAACTATGGAATCAATGTCTTACTACCAACACTACAAATTGCTTATGGACACCTTCAGCGGATGCTTAATATTGGACACTCACCATTGGCATCTAGGAAGCGATAAGATATACGAGTCTATTGGATAGAGGAAAGGTTGCACGCTTATTTAGCTAAGAAAATAGCACTAAGAGGGTTTCAAATTCAGGGTACATTCAGAAATATGAAAAAAGTTCTGACTTGTAACAAACGTCGTTAGTATCTTGCCTAACTTCTTTGAGACGGGATTTTACAATCAGTAGCACTCTGACATTGGTACCTTTTCTCATCTACAGGAAGGCGTAATTAGAATTTTAATGTGAGATTTCGTCTCAGATCCTCAATATCATGCTTTATTCTTTGTCATGGGCGCCATATGGGACTTTTGTACAAGTGAGTCCTTAGGTTTTAATTCTAATTCCAATTACAAATATGTGTAATATATTATATAATTATGCATTGTCAAATCTTAGTTATTTTAGAAAACCGAAACGTTCATGCCACTTATTTCAGTCTGTTTGTGTGTATGTCTGTTCGCTAATATTTGGACTGCCTATAAATTAGGAAAACTGCTAGGATTTTATGTGAAATTTTTACACAAGGTTACTACTATGTGAAGGACAAAACAGGTTTGTAGATTTTGAAAATCGATTTAGTATTTTCATTTTCGAAGAAAAGTTTGCAGGGGTTAAAATTTGATGTTGGGAATTATAGGGGGTAGGGGAGAGTAGGTTTTAATTGGTGCTGGCAATACATTTCGAACCCAGCTAATTCTACGCCCCTATTAGACATATTTCTCAAATCAAAGAATTCCCTGTACATTTGCCTTTAAAAGTTGAATTATAAAGGCATATCTTAGATGTACGAGTGACAAGCAACTCAACGAGCGCGCGCTTCTCTGCTTTGGATGGCTGGGGATAACTGAGTCATCAGGTGTTTTTATGTGCAGTATAACCCCATGCTGGATTATCAGTTGCTAGATTGCATTGTTGAACTATGGACTGATTCTATGATCCATTTAATTCCAATGTTATACATGTTCAGAGCAAATGTATTTCTAAGGAGGACTAACATATGCTGAACATAAGATACCCGGACAGCGCCTGGTTTACCTACTTGACGCCAGTGTCTATTTGAAATCATCAAGGTTTGAGAACTTCAATGTATGACTATTGACATCCATTTCTGGAATTGGAATCAAACACCCTACTCACCGGTGCAAAAATCCAATATGGCGTCGATGAGTAGAATTTTAGATGGTTACTGAGGACAAAGGAACGTCGTATCCTCGAGAAGAGAATTGTGGCCATATTAATGTGAAATTTGGGAAAAAAATATAAACTGTTTTTGGGAAAATCGTTTTCTTGTTTCGTTCGTCCCTAGAAATACTTAGAATTGCGAGGCTTCTCGAATTCCATTTTCTCAGTTACCTAGATGCTCTAGTTTAACCGGTTTCGTTTCTTACGGCTTCTGGGATCCCACTTGTGAAATTCGAATTCAGGGAGTCAAATATCCTTTTCGTACCCCGATTTGCGGGGATCGTTATTATCTAATCTTATAAAGCTGCATTTCATAGATAATGAAACTCTACTAAGTTAGTGTTACTTACATATTATTAAATACCAAAAGCATATCTTACCAGATTCCAAAAAATTGACAGAATTGTTCTTAATACTACGCTATCTCCATAGTAAACTCTGTGCTCAAAACTCCATAATAAACAAACCAAAACTCCTACGTAAGAATTTGCTATCGTCAAGAGGAGCACCCAGCGAAATACTTGATTGAACAACAGAATCAACTCGTGGTACTCCATGTAGTAAACTTGAGCGTTTCTAAAGTACTCACACATTTCATCTTTTGAAGAAAAGTACATATGGACAGAGTTACTGAGTAGAAGAGTCAAATTGTCGCACTGGCTTTGAAAAATTTCTAGGACCAGGACACAACAATGTATACTTGAAAGAATGAGGAAGCGACGTCCGCCATATAATAGTTCTTGATAATTGAGGTTACTTGAAGTCCATTAGAGACAGTTACTAATATCGCTACTGAAAACAAAGAAAGCACAGAGGCTCCGTATAAACATAGCCTTACGGAGCAGTTGCATTTTAATCGACCTGCAGTCTTCATGATATTGACAAGTGAATCAAAAAGTTGCTTCCATTTTCCTGTCTTTTGCGCTGAGGGGTAAAAATAGTATGGTATTGCACCTTTCATGTTTGCAGTTTCAACTTCTGATATGGTTTGCTTCCACATCATGTATGTACGCATTTCCTTCTGTGTTACATTTAATATGTCACCATTTTTTATTGACATAGCCTGATCGATAATACACGCCTACAAGCAAAGCTGTTTCAAAGAATAATTGAAAAATTGTAGAGTAGATTGTCTCAGCTTATACCTAATCCACAGAAGAAGCTTGGTGGCTGAAAGTAATTACCTTTGGGCATTTTCAAATAACTGAATAGCTAGAATCTGAAAAATATACTTGTTTTGCTAATCCTGGCTAAATAAAGCTGGATTGCAAGCTAAGTCACGTTTCGGTTACCCATGGTTGGACGAAAAATCACAATAATTATGTATTTTAGGGCCGTATCAACAGTCGTTCCTACAATTGTAGGATGCCCTTATGGCCATCTTAATTTTCATAGTTTCCTCCTATTCGGTGCCAGCGCTTCACTTTGAGGTTATATTAGAAATACCTATTTGCAATTGTTCATGCTTTTGATTTATATCACCTGTTGCATCAGCCGAAAAGACTATGAAAATCAAGGAGGCCATAAAGACGTTCTATAATTGTAGGAACGACCGTTAGTAAACTTCCAAAACGACATTTGTGGTTTCATTAACATTAATCAGCGTCCCATAGCGAATATGTCCTGAAGTCGTGCACTACTCAAATTGAGCTTTATAATGGAGATCTCAATGTGATAGCTTCTCACGTTCTTTATGGGTGCCAGTCCAGAGCACAAAAGATAATTACTGTTTGAAAGGCTCAGAGTGGAAGCAATAGCATTCTCAGAGTACTAGCAGAAAAACTGTGGAAGTTGGCATAGGTTCATCGTAAAGGAAAAAGAAAAAATATATCCCAGTTTGACGACTCATAGGTAAATCCCCACCTCGTAAGTCTTGAAGCATAGCTGGAGAAGCAACAAATACTCTCTATAGACCTCTAAGGTATGAGCTAAGAGTGAATTGAAAAACCACAGGATGAAACAGTTGAAATTACCAGGTTGAACAATATACTCAGCAACGGTATCATCATTATTTTGAATTCATTATAGACTGCATCTTCAAAGGACCAGAGAACACATATCAAGGCGTTGATGTAGCAATTTGCAATAACTAACAGCAGCACTTGACTGAAGACCTCATTGAAAAGCTTCACCGTTTGGTCACATTGTTTGTAGTACAAAGTTATTTGTTTCAAACTTTTCCTCTTGAAGCTGTTTGACTTTATGATCGTGTCTTCAATACTAATGATGAGGTAGTCGTACTGTTTGCAAATGAAATGCAAGATCAGATGCATCGTTGAAGCCATGAACAATTGTAGAACATTATATGTCATCTCAACAAGATAGTATTTCAGAGGTATCACGCCCGCAGTGTATAAGTTAGAGAATGACGTGACAAATGTCGTAATAAACGTAGATATTACAGCTATTTTGTAGACCCGCAGATCATTGCTCCGGCGGGTATGTCTCATTGTGCTGGACATTTTGTCAACGTAAATTAATTCACGTAACATACTCTTCCAGTTTCCACTTCTCCTTAGAGTTGAGTAGAAATATATCACCAGTGAAATACATTTTAAGCTGCCTTGCATACTGTCAACAAATATAGTCAGCAGTTTTGGCGATTCTGGGTAAATGAGTGTTCTTGCTATGATGTCGTATACTTCCTTTGTTATTAAGATTATGGCCCAGCAGCAAGTTACTGCTTGGTATACTAATCTTGTATAACCACTTTCAGCGAATGGTGGTAAGACTCCTGAATATTTTCCGATTTTGTGGTACAACAGTAATATATAAATGTGCTCTCTAAATGGACCTACACTTCCTTCCATCGTTACTTCTTGACTATAAAGGTTATAGAACAAATATTAAGCGATAGCGCACTCCCGTCCACAAGCATTATCTGCCTATAAATAATTCCATGCTTTTAGCTTAATTAAGTCATTTAGTGAAAAAAAAAATGTAAATAGAAATGAGTACAAGTCGGAGACAAGAAGTTTATGCTTACCAGGTGCAGTGGTATGCTTAGCACCGGTACCGTCACCCTGTTGGATTTACTGTATTCCGTCTCTTCAAAGCACCATAGAAGCATACTAAAGCACTAACGTAGCAATTTGCAACCCTAGCATCAATACTATCCTATTGAACTGCGACACCAATTTGTCACATTCCTTCTAGTACAAAGTTATTTGTTCAAAATTCCTGAGGTTGTAATTTTTTATGGTACCTTCTATATTAGCAACAATGTTCTCGTACTGCGTTTGGATAAAATTTAGGATCAGATGTGTCAAAGATACAATAAATAACTGTAGGAATACGTGAAATATGTCAATGACATAGTAATGGACTTGTATTAAATCATTATAAAACAAGTTTGATGATGCTAGAAGAAACGTTGTAGCGAAGGTAACCATTGCAAATACTTTGTAAAGCCCCAGACCATTATAGTTGATAGAATACCCTACTTTGCGAGATCTCTTATTAACATGAATCAGTTGTCGGAACATGGTCTTCCACCTAACACTCCCTCTTAGAGCTGAAAAGAAATATACCATTAGAGATAGACATTTCAGGCCTACTTGCAAAACGTCCACAAATATGGTTACCAGTCTGGCTGATTCTGGATCTATGACTGTTCTGGCAATGATAGTGTATATTC